CCTGCTAGTGGTAAAAGGGTGGTCTCACCCATGAAAACTGATACAATCTGCTGGAGAGCTTGAGCTACTGAAACACAGCAGACTGCATGAAAGCTGAGAATAGAAGAAAGCAAGCCTTAAAAAAGTAAACTAATGCTGCTATCACATCTAAGAATTGGTAAGCTGCAATATAATAAATGTTTGCTTTTGGGTTTAAGAACGCTTTAAACTTGGAAAATTGCTTCTCATATATAAAAAAGGTCAGTTGGCCCTAAACAGATATTTCAGCTTTTGCTCACCTGTTCATGTGCTCTGGGTGCTGAGGGTGGGGGGGGGGGTTGGACAATGTCAGGAATTATGGAAGGACATTGCACCGTTAGAAGTATGCAAAGCATGTAAGAAGCCAGGAGCCAACTTAACCTACTGGACTCTACTAAAATGAAATTCTCATATTAGGTGACTAAGATGCATGGTGATGACAAAAATGTTATATATTTTGAATGAGCACAGTTGCATATTTTAGGAAATTATCTCAGTATACAAAGACACTAAGCATAAAAAATGTCATCATAGGCTCTTTTTTTTCTTGAGTAACAAAACAAAAATAAAGTGGTTTAATGTTTTCATCCCTCTTATGTTTGGCCATTTTGTATCTACAAAAAAAAAAAAAGAATCCTACAGTTTGCCAATAGTTTTATTGAATATCAGAATGGTTTGTCACATAAAGCTCATAATTGCTAAAAACCAATATCTATATTTCTATAGTGGAACATAAATGAGACTGAAGAGAAAACTAGCAAACACCGGAGCCACAAGCACCAGATTTTAATGCTCACACTACAGAGAAATACAATTCTCACCAATTTTCTTGCACAAATCTGCACTAATTTTCCTTTCTCCAATCAACTAACATCATGATATCTTCACCCAGCAGCTATGTAAATACTGTGGAGACATGGTGAATTCAGACAGTTTGAGTTTTCTCATTTTAGATCTATTAGGCAGATTTGAATCCTATTGGCTGTATGGCTCCTGTAGGAGACTGGAGAATGGTAAAGTGATAGTAACTATACCTGACCTGCACTTCTCTTTACGTTAGTAATTTCTTGACAGGTTCCTGAGAAAGATAAAATGGCTGCATAATAAACTAAATAACTTCTCATATATACATCTTTTTAACAATCCTAAATGATTTTTTGTTCTAATGTGTTAAGAGCCTGAGTTGTTCTGATATGATTTCAAAAGCTAATATTCTCTCTAGGATGATTATTTCCACAGCCTGGTAGGCAACAAGCTGTCTTAAAGGGAAGATCCACTAAATGCACATTAGCAGAAGGGCAGTGAAGCAAGCCTGCCACCCCCAGCCCCCCCTCCCACCACACACGCAGGAGAACACAAGAGCTCTGCAGGAAGAAGTCCCCCATTAACTGACTGCATTGATGGGGGGATCAAACGATTTTCTTTCCTGCAACCCAAAGTTGCAAGAAAGAAAATCGCTCCATCTATGGCCAGCTTTATCCTTGCAGGTGTATAACAGGTAAATGAAGTACTTGATACAGAACCTCTAATCAATGGCATAGATAGAAATGTGAATCCTATTTATACATTAGGCTTACTTCACCTTCCTTCACTTAAAAGACATTTAGTGGAATCACCAGTTAAGCCGACCTCTAGTTATAAGATACCATTAAAAACTCAAACAGCAAAAGACTCAAGACATACAATGACCAACTGCTCTGGCACATCATCAAATGCCTAGGCCAGCCATTCTCAACCACGGTTCCTCCACTGGTTGCTAGGGGTTCCTTGAGCTGTGGCTGGATCATCTTCCATCTGATGGTGCCTGAATAATTCTCATATTCCATACAAAATACCTACGCTATGAGTAATAACAAAAAAAAAAAAGTAAATAATTAGGATACTGCTGTTATGCTATGTAATGACACCTCTTCTGATCAAATACAAGTACCCCAGATACCTACGAGTAACAGCGCTAGCTTCCCAAAAACAAAGGTAGCACTGTTACCTATAGGTATTTGAGGTACATATAATTGATCTGAATAATTCTGATTCCAATGCAGCATAACACCAATGAGCTCTTTAGCTGTTTATAAGAAGGGCATTTCCATGGACAATCAATGTAAGGGTCATTTCCCCAAAAACCGCCAATGAATGTATTTCAGCAGGGGTTCCCAGAGACCTGAAAATTATTCCAAGAGTTTCTCTGGGGTAAACAGGTTACAAAAGGAACTTTAGTCTCTCAATCAACATGGATTATTTTTAATCCTTATGCTGCTATCATTAGTAAATGGAAAGTATATCATATTTACTTGTTTTACACATTTTTCTTTTTTATATTTCTTCAGTTAATTCCTGCTTTCCGTGTCTAGGCAAATTATGTCATACATCCCAGCAGTCTTCAGGAGGGGAGGGTTCTCAGCTCAGCCAAAGCCTGAGCTTAGGGCAGATGGATTTCAGGAAGTAAATGTTATAGGACTCATCTGCCCTTACTCAAGATGGCCACTGCCAGAAATGCTAGGGGGTGTTTTTCAAAATGATTTTTCAGCAAAATAAAGCATGGAGACATGGATGAATGAGTTTGCTTTGAATATTAACTATGACTTAAATAGAATGTTTGGTTTGTGGCGCTCAGATGCAGTGCAGTTCCACTTTAAGAAAGGCTGGGCTAGGCGTTTGATATGATCACTCCCTTGTTGGTTTTTCAGCCAAGATGTGTATTGTACCATTGCCTACTATTTATAAGGGAGCAGGATTTTTTTTTTCTCACACAACTGTCGCCCCGTTGATATGTAAAAAGACCACTAAACCTGTATATTTTTATATAAGAGAGGACCTCTAACACTACTTGAGGTAAAGAACCACGAGTTGCCATTAGTAACCATATTCTTCATGCTCTAACAAACTGGGAAAAATATGGAAATTCAACCACAGAAACTTTCAGTTAAGATGTTTTATACAAAAAGCACCGAATGCTCCCCTTGCATAGACACTGCAGGGTCATGGTTCAACCAGACCTAGTATAAAAAAAAAGAGTCCAGTTTCCATTCCCCCACTCCCATAATGAAAATACTGGTTAAATATTTCACCATAAAGCTTTTTGTTATAGGCGGCTACATTCTGTAATATGGTAGACACAATAATGACATTCCAAATATTTTTCTCTGATAAAATCTTAAGCAGAATGTCAGAGCTCCCTGAAGATTTTATATATTTATTTTTATATTATTCAGGAAGGCAGTAAAAACCAAACATAATCATAGTAACAATGCACCTTTTACAAATAGAAAGATTACAAATAGACATATTAAATGTAGAATTCCAGTCTAACTACGCTTAAAAATGTTCCCTCCTACCTACCTCCTGCCTAACCTGTGTGAACTTACCTAGTATTAGTCCGCTCTGGTCATGTCATCCTGCAGCTCCAGTTCCGGCGTCAGGGAGTGCTGACAATGGCTGGGACCTAGGAGCCTACAGGTTACATCAACACTCTAAAAGTTCCTAGCTGTTGTCAAGCACCCCCCCCCCGTCCCCTGCAGTCAGCGCTCACTGATATGGGATCAAGTGACTGGGCCATAGCGGACTAGAATTAGCAAGTATACACATCTTATTTACAGAGGTTAGGCAGTACGGGTAGCAGGAGGGAGAAAGGGACAATTTTAGGCATGGTTAGCGTTTGCTCGGAATTCCACTTTAAGGCGTATTTACTGCAGCAGTATACCTGTCAATACGATTTAGGTGCTAAACTGGTTGCAGAAGTACAATAAAAGGGACTGAGTAATATATGCACACATTTCCTTTCTGTGCCCTTGAAGCTATAAAGACCAAGTTCTGACGCTTCCTACTAGTGTGTACTCATCAACAGAACATATAAAGGGTATGTATGAAGCAATGAAGAATTCATGTAATTTTATATTAAGGCACTTCTCAAGCAGTCAGATGTACTAAAAACAGCTATTGTTGGGGATAACTGCAACCAGTCAAATGCTACCTTCAGTTTAGAGCAGAGCAATGAAAAAGGATAACGGAATAACTGCCATGAGTTACAACTCCAATTCCAAATCCAAGTTGTCACAGTACATGAAGAATACTACGAAGCATTGATGAAAAGCATGTATATGTGGAAATGAGCAAATACAGACACTAAACAAATTTTCTGGACTTTCTTTGGATAATGGCAGATCGAACAAGCGTCTGTATAAATCGCACAATACTAATAAGCCCACTACCACTTCATCCTCCATTAAAGGTTTTGGTTAACATCTGACTTATTAATATCCAAGAAAAGACATTACCAAGGAACAAGCTGATGAGAATATATGCACTGAAAAGTGCATGATAATAGATTCAGGATGCACCTTACAGTTTAAATACAACTCAGCAACTAAGTTAAAAGGGAAGTCGCAGGTATTTAAATTTTGAAAGTTATGAATTTTTAAAACAGGAAATCGCTGAACAGTGTTTAATGCTTGCAAAATGGTAAAACACATACGTAGCCTCACTGATAGCCTAAGAGGCAACAGGACCCCTCCATGAGGATACAACAAACAGGACAGCATCAGAATGATTTTACTCTCAGCTTAAAGAATTAAAGCCAATTCCTCCCCTAAAGCCTTCAATCTAAAACCATCATTATAAAGGAACAAAAAAATATGTCCACTGTGCATAAACGTTGATTCAGGATCCTTCTTACAGCCTAGATAAAACCTAGAGCAGCTAAGTTCAAAGGGAAGTCTCGTGTATTTACACTGTGAAAGTTGTAAAGTAATTTGTGTTAAAACAGGGAACTGGTGAAGTGTTTAATGCCTGCAAAATGCTAAAACAATAAAACACACACTTTGTTCCATGATAGCTTCATAAGGATACAACAAACAGGACACAGTATCAGGATGGATTCTCAAGCCGATTCCTCCCCTAAAACCCCTCATCTGTGATGTTTCAATTAAGGACATTACGGTTTACATCAACTGAGGCCCAGAGGGAAAGACTTTCTGTTGGTGTCTTCACTCAATAAGTTTCTTAGCTCTCTTGTTGGCTTCATCAATGTGGTCTTTATTACTAATTGCCTGAAACAAAAAACACAAAACACTATTAAACTACAATCTGTAAACAATACAATTGTAAAAATCAGGGCTATAGCCCTTAGCAACAATCAATGTGTTCTCTGGGCACCGACGGCTCCTCCCCTGGAAGAACACAATAGCTCCGTGGGAGGGATTCCCCCATTAAAAGTGATTGTGTTGATGGGGAATCGAGTGACTTTCTTTCCTGCAACCCATGGTTGCAAGAAAGAAAATTGGATCATCTATGGCTGGATTAATTATCCCTTCCAGTTCTTATCTTGGGACTACAGAATGATTAGCCTTTATGTTGTGGAGAAGGGTCTGAGCAGCTTGGCAAATGAAAACACCAGTCAATCTACAAAACGCTGTATGTTGTCAGCCCACAATTGGGCTTTATGAACTGAGGGCATTTCTGGCAGATCAACAGATGTTTTTATATACTTGCAACGTCTTTAACCTCTTGTCAGCTACAGAACACACGTGTGATGGCAAAAGGGTGGGCTTTAACACTCACATGCTGCACACATGCTCTGCTGGGTGGCCAATGTTTCTGTGCTGAGAGCATGCTCATTGCTTGCATCACAGAGACTGAGCTGTGAAAGCTCTTGATCCCAGCTAACAGTAGCCAGGGGGACCGGCTTCTGATGATGTGGTAGCCAATCACAGTTGTCACGTGATTGGCCAATCTTTCCCCACCTGACTGGCATTCAGGATAAAACACAGGGAAATGTGCTTATGTTGCATAGATGTTTGTACAGCGCTGAGCATACCGTTGGAACTATATAAATACTGTATAATAATACTGTACAGCTTTTGTTTATTTTGCCCTTTTGCATGGTAATCGAAAGCAATACTCATCTTTATCCAGATGAAGACAAAGATTGCCCAAGATAGCAGCAAGATGATAGGATTCAGTTTTCCCTGAGTGCTCATGATCTGCTGGGAATGAGTCGGCCTGGGAGAGAAGTGGATACCTCAGAAGGATAGCTCAAAGTTGCTAAAGTGAACTTAAATGATTATATCTTTCTCATGGGCATTACCCAAACAAAATGCCCACAAAACCAGAATTTATTTTGCAGCCTTGTTAATTAAAAAGGTTAGGAGGCGTGGCTAGGATGTGAGCCAGAAAGGACGTGTGGGAAGAGTGTTCTGTATTCATCCCACTTTCATGATCCTTCTACTGGGCGCTGTATTGATCCTGTGGGCACTTACTCTCTCCCCAGTAATACTGGAACCCACCGCAGTGGCTATTATGTCTGCTGAGGTCAAGGCAAAACCGCAGCATGATCTGAGGCCTTGGGGCTCCGGGAAAGGGAGGGTCACATGTTCGCCTGGCACCATCCTTCCTTCCTCATCCGGAGCAGCTGCTCCGCGGTCATCCAGAATGGAGCCTGGTCCTTCTGCCTCTTCTCCTGCGATGTACTCTGCCCCGCCAGCTTCTGACAGGCCTGGGTCTCCTCTGCTGGCTGATCAGGATGCAGACACCATCACGAAGCCTATCCTGGATGCCATTGTGGGATGCAAGTCAGCCCTCATGCTCCACATAGACCACCTGGCCTCGGAGTGTACGCTGATCCGCCATGATTTAGATAAGATATGCGGGAGGATATCTGAGGAGGAGGACCATATTGGCTCGGTGGAGGATATTCAGAGTTCCCACACAGCACAACTCTCTGACCTACAGACCATGGTACAGTCTCTGATATCCTTCCTTCTCTGCCTATTTTCAGCATCTTCCTTTTTTATTTTTCTGAGTGGTGGGCCTAACAGAAAGTGCAGAGGGTGCACACCCTGCTACTTTTGCTGAATCCTTCTTTAAAAAAGTTGCTTGGTATGTCGGAGATGCCTCCAGCGCAATGTTGTGAAGAGGACTCAGAGTCCCCACGGGTAATCATCCCTCAGGAGTACCACCAAGGGTCTTCATGGTCCGCTTTCTCAATTTTAGAGACAGAGATCTGATACTTGCTGAAGTTAGGAAATGAGCTGAATTGCCGTATGAAAATGCAAAAGTGATGTTCTTTCCAGATTTTTCAGCTGAAAAGCAAAAGTGACGTCATTCATTTAATGAGGTCCGCCGACGACTGAGGGAGAAGATCATCACTTATAGTATGCTGTATCCCAGCCCGTTTCGTGTTCCTCATCAAGGTAATGTTCGGTTTTTTGATACTCCTATGGAGGCCAATGACTGGCTTGATACATCTGAGGATTGCAACTCTTCGCGGCAACAATAGCTTGGACTCTTGGACCAGAGCCTACTATGTCCCTTGGTTCTGGCATTCTGTATGGTTCTGGACTCTCTTTATGATGCCCACTGGTGGTGGTTATTTTCTGCTCTATATTGGATGGGGGGGGGGGGGGGGGGGGGGGGGGGGAGGGGGGGGTTACTACCACCAAAAGAAAGCTCTATTTGTGTGAAAAAAAATACAAATTTTGTATGGATACAATGTTGCATGGCTGCGCAATTGTTATTCAAAGTGCAACAGCACTGAAAGCTGAAAATTGGCCTGGGCATGAAGGGGATAAAAGTGCCAGGTAGCACGTGGTTAAGACATTTATGAGGGGCCAGTATGTCTCTGCCATGAAGAGTGCTAGTATGGACTTTAATGCTATGTTGCAGAGCTTGCAAGAGGAGGAGGGAACTGCTCATGCCTCTGCTCCATTAGAAAATATTTATGTGGAACTCTTAGAAGCCAACTGTAAACTGGCTATACAATTCAATGAGCTGACGCAGACATCCTGGGTTAAGAGGGCTGAGTCTTTTATTTGACCAAGGTGACAAGAATGGGACATATTTGGCTCTACTGGTTGCAGAACAGAAGGCTCAAACTAACCAACCCTGCATCAAGACCTCACAAGGGATTCTAGTTACCTCTCCTTCTGATACTCTGAGCACATTTGTAAGTTATTATGAAGCCTTATATGCCCCACTTATTTCCTACAACGAGGGAGATCTAGAGCAGATTGTTAGAACGCTCCCCACACCCAATTTATCGGTAGAGGATAGAGACAGCCTGGAAGAAAACATTACGGGGAGGAAATAGAACTAGCCATAAAGAATTTCCTTCCCCACAAATCACCTGGGCCAGATGGGTTCTCTATTGAATGGTACAGATTGCATATGGAAACCCTTATTCCTAAGCTTAGATCCCTATAGAATTCTATAATGCTAATCACAGGATTCATCCCTGCAAAATCCACTGACACCAACTTGAGGAGGCTGTTCACACACCTGCAGATTGGGCCTAGTTGCAGAATTCCCCGATAGTGCCACAGCTGGTCACCACGCACCCACACATTCCTATTGGCTCAACACTATGGTGGGCCGCCTCACTGGCCAGTACGAATGTGTGAAAAGCTGTAGTTGCCTGCACATTACACCTACCAGCAATTTGTTTTTTTGGTTGTTAAAAGTGTCAGCACTGGGAAGCCAAGAACAATTGCATGGCTGTCAATGCTAAAGATTCAAATACAGAAGTAAGTCTGCAAGAACTGCCTACCCTTGATCCAGGCCAGAGTAACACTTTAATAATTATTTTGCAAAAGAAAGAATGTGTGTATATAGTATATCCATTAAAGGTTTCTCTTTATTACAACCATTATAGTTTTGCTTTGCAATACAAGATGATTAATACTACATATTATTTCTAACTGCTAAGCTTGTGTCTAAAACATTACCAAAGAGCACAGCACTCTTACCTTTTCATTAATCCGGTCAATTTGTTTGTTTTGGGCATCAATCTCATTACCCATATCTAAAGCCATCGTCTTGAGATTTCCTAAAATGCCCCCGACGTGCTTTAGATTGTCCTCCATCTCATCTTCTCGGGCATCATTTGTTACCCTACCAGAATCAAGAAGAAATCAGGTATTTGTATATTATTTTTTTGTTATGGAAGCCATTAAGGGACACATAAACTGCTTAGCTTAATCTGTTTGCTTTTACTGCTGCCTACAGACAAAATGGATACTAAGGAAAAAAAACAAAAAACTTTGGCTAGCACAGGATAATCCGGCCTACAACCATCATGCCTCAGTTTTGTAGAAAAGTAGGACCAAGTGCATGAAAGATATAGAAAGAGAGATGACCTTCAACGAAATCCAAGAATAAGATTTTGCAGTAAATAGAAAAATCCAAATTTCTTTTTCTCCTCCACTGAGAGATACAGGAATTCTTAGACTGTCAGGGTGTTCAAAAGTAGTCCATCAGTGGGGTAGGCAACATAGCAGCAAAGGCTAACAGGTGCAAGAAAACAAGAGCTTGGGACTGCTTGCAGTGCATGGAACTACTTGAAAGATCCACCACCAGAAGCAGCCATCACACAAGACCTAAATATACTCCTTGCAGTACTTTGAAAACAAGAACTGAAAACATGGTGGTAGCCTTGCAAATTGGAAAAAGTTAATTGATGCCATGATGTGCTCACAAATCTAGTAGAGTGCACACTGACAGGAAAGGGTGGATTCAAGAGACCATGTGCTTAGATGATGGTCTGAGCAACCTGGCGATAGTGGAACAAGAAAGCCAGTATACCCTTATGGGGTCCATCTGGAATAACAAAAGTTAATTGGTCTTCCTAAAAGAAGCAGCTGCTGGAAAAAAAAAAAAAAAAAAACCAACACTCACAGCCCGAAATACATCTGAAACAATGAAGGGCACTTCCCTTCTGGTGAACTGGAGCCATATAGAGTAATTGGAGGTTAAAGACAGAGCCCCTGAGGGCAAAACAGAAATTCTGGGTCTTAAAATTATCCTGTCACTGCAGAAAGGGATCTTGCAGGATAAAGCGGCCAGGTCAGATACTAACCTCACAGAATTGATGCCTACAAGAAAAGAGAGCAATGTCTCAAATGAGTTCAAACTATGGTCATTGAAATGCACAGAGAACCAAATTCAGATCACATGGAGTAACAAGGGAAACGAAGAGGGGGAGCTACACAGCAGACTAAAGTCTAAAGGTCCAAATCAAGGAGTGAAAGTCTAAAGGTCTCTAAAATAAGATGGACAGGACAAAAACCTGGGCCTTAGAAGTTTGGAGACCAAAACATTGGCCCAGACCCAGGTGCAGGAAACAGAAAATTTGTACCAAAAGGCAAACTCCTGAGGTGGAAGCCCTGAGACTGAAGTAAAGTACGTTTTCCATGTCCAATGAGAGACCTTGTCGAAAGCAGACTTCCTAGTTTTAAGCCAGGAGTTTTACCAGGTTGACATACCACATCCATCTGGACCAATCCAGAGTAATGAGGATTACTGGAAAGCCCTGTACCTTGACCTTGCGAAATAGAGCAGTCTGTCAAAAGATTGGACTGACTTGTCCCACGATAACAGAATGTTAGGTTAAAAGGACTCTGGACAGAAGCTGGCAAATGGGACTGTCCGGAAAGGGGCTACCATCACTCCTCAGCTACCAAGCAAAAATTAGAGTAAGACAACTCCAGGACTGGACAGCTAGAATTTAAGAAACTGAAGTGTCCTCTGTGAAAGGAACACCATGGCCTGCACTGTGTCCTGAACCAGACTTAGATATCCATAACATTGAGTCGTTTCTATATAACGATTACTGAAAGATCAGGATACACTGGAAGTGTTGTAGTGTAAAGACAAACAAACTACACTGTCTAACAGAACCTGCACTGACTTGTCCCTGAACAGGAGGTCGTCCACTTCACAATGGAGATGTGAAGAGAGAAATGGTTAATACTGGGCCAACATTGGTGAACAATGAGCACAAAAGAGGCCAAAGTGTAGGACCATGAACTGATAATGTAGAAGTCCCACCAGTCAATAGTAGGAAACATTGATGCACTGCAAAGGCACATTACACAAACACATTCTTGATGTCCACAGAAGCTAGAAATTCTCCATGTGAAAGAGAAACAATGACAGACCCTGTGGATTCCATGCAGACGTACTGGGTTTGGTTGAAAAAAAATATCCAGGGTTTTAAAATCCAAAGGAAAGGGGGTCAGGGGAGATCTACCGAACTGGGAAGTGGTCCCTGTTAGTGGACAGATCCAACACGAATAGTGCTATGCTTTGCATATGGCAGTAGTCCTGAGTAAGTCTACATGGATACTGCTCCTCCGGAAAAGAAGAAAACAACAACAACAACAACAGGTACACACATGCACGTGCGGGGCGCGGTAGCTGCACCAGAGTACCAGCTAAAGAAAAAATGGCAAGAAATTTGAAACAGATGCTCAACCTCCTAAAATGCAGCAACAAGCTCAAAGTGCAATATAAGCAGCTGGGAAATGGTTAGGACAAACATAGAAAACTATAAGTAATTGCAGTTGCAGCACAAGAAACAGTGCTTAGCTGAACACAAATCACACACAAAAAACCCTAGTGTAATATAAAAGAGGGCTCCCTTCACTTTAGTAAGAATAGGTGAATAAGCAGAGAGGAATAGGTGGAGAACTGGGAGCAGCACTCTCTACAGAATCCTCAGAATACTGGCCTGACATGTAACAGGGTCATGTGAAACTGAAACACAGAGTTATCCAGCAAGAATGTGGGGCTGGTGTAGCGAGGCGGCCAGCAGGAACTTGAAAAACCTGCTCTTCACGGCTGGCTGGAGGAAACTTCTACGAAGTCATACTGTTGCAGGGGAAACCCGGTGCTTATTGGCTGACTAGAGAGACTCATGATTTTTAACATATTTACCAATCTACCAGAAGCTGTTGATAGAAGAAAAATCTTCCAAATAGAAATCAGCAGAGCTAAAGAAAGCCTACACTTAGGCGGACACTAACAAAAACTGATATATTATGGCTGTGAGTGGGGCTATCTTGTGCTGACCAATTTATTTTGTTGCCAGTGTTTATATTTCCTGTAGGCAGCCATATAGCCTGACAGCCTAAAGTCCTGTGACTCTCAACGGACAAGAAAGAGAACCTACGTGCCTACGGAGTTCAATCACAAAAACAGCTTGTGTGTTCAGAACCCTAAAAAGTGCAATGACCCAGAGGAAAGTAAGCCTTTTTAACATGGGTTCCAATTTGCTCTAGCAATGAAATTGTATTTTATGAACCCATCAAAAAAAAAACAAGAGATGAGAGGGGGAGAGACAGAGAGAGACACACTCACACACGAGAGATGAGTGAGAAAGAGAACTTGTGGTATAATTCCACTCTGCTTTGCTGCTTAGCAGTATAGAAGTCTTCTATAAGTTGACTCATCAAAGGTTACCCTTTTCCATGCATTATTTTGACAATATGTTACTAAAACTATAAAATTTTGGAACGCATTACCTCTTTATGTATGCGCCACTCTGCCCTGGTGCACTCTGCTGCTGTCCGTTGCTGACCTGTCGTGGTTGCTTGGAGACAACATCATCATCATCTTTGTTCCCCCAAGCCTTCTTATACACATCTCCAGTATCAAAATTCTTTGACCTGTGACAAAACGACAAAAGGTTGTGAAAGACAACTTAACCACTTTAAGACCAGGACTATTCTGACACACCTCACATATACACTATATTGCCAAAAGTATTGGGACGCCCCTCCAAATCACTGCATTCAGGTGTTCCAATCACCTCCATAGCCACAGGTGTATAAAATCAAGCACCTAGGCATGCAGACTGCTTCTACAAACATTTGTGAAAGAATGGGTCGCTCTCAGGAGCTCAGTGAATACAAGCGTGGTACCATGATAGGTTGCCACCTGTGCAATAAGTCCATCCATGAAATTTCCTTGTTACTAAATATTCCACGTTCAACTGTTAGTGGTATTATAACAAAGTGGAAGCAACTGGGAACAACAGCAACTCAGCCACCAAGTGGTAGGCCACATATAATGACAGAGCGGGGTCAGCGCATGCTGAAGAGCAGAAGTCACCAACTGTCTGCAGAGTCAAGAGCTAAAGACCTCCAAACTTCATGTGGCCTTCAGATTAGCACAACAACAGTGTGTAGAGAGCTTCATGGAATGAGTTTCCATGGCCAAGCAGCTGCATCCAAGCCTTACATCACCAAGTGCAATCGGATGCAGCGGTGTAAAGCACGTTGCCACTGGACTCTAGAGCAGTGGAGACGTGTTCTCTGGAGTGACGAATCACGCTTCTCTGTCTGGCAATCCAATGGACCTGTCTGGGTTTGGTGGTTCCCAGAAGAATGGTACTTGCCTGATTGCATTGTGCCAAGTGTAAAGTTTAGTGGAGGGGGGATTATGGTGTGGGGTTGTTTTTCAGGGGTTGGTCTTGGCCCCTTAGTTCCAGTGAAGGTAACTCTTAAGGCGTCAGCATACCAAGACATTTTGGACAATTTCATGTTCCCAACTTTGTTCCAACATGACTGCACACCAGTGTACAAAGCAAGGTCCATAAAGACATGGATGAGTGAGTTTGGGGTGGAGGAACTTGCCTGGCCTGTGCAGAGTCCTAACCTCAACCCGATAGAACATCTTTGGGATGAATTAGAGCGGAGACTGTAAGCCAGGCCTTCTCACCCCACATCAGTGCCTGACCTCACAAATGTGCTTCTCGAAGAATTTTGTTTTTTAACCAAAAACTATGTAGCAGAATACATTTTGGACTAAATTTATGAAGAAATTTGATTTTTTTAAAAAATTTTTGGATAGGTTTTATAGCAGAAAGTAAAAAAAAATTTTTTTTTTAAGTTCTTTTCGTTTATAGCACAAAAAATAAACTCTAAAAAGAAAAAAAAAAAAAAAAAAAAGAAAGCTCTACTTGTGGGAAAAAATTACATAAATTTAAATTCATGTACAGTGTTGCATGACCACGCAATTGTCAGTTAAAGTAACACAGCGCCATAGCGCAAAAAAAGGCCTGGTCATGAAGGGGGGTAAATCTTCCAGAGGTCAAGTGGTTAAGCAGTGGTTCTTGAGAATAAAATGGTGGGTGTTTTTAATTTTATGTCATGCCATATTTGCGCAGCGGTTTTTCAAACACATTTTTCTGGGAAAAAATACATTTTAATGAATTTAAGGTCTGGTGTTAGATTTATTACTCTTATCTGCAGTGATACTTCACATGTATGGTGCGATCGCTGTTTACATATGCATGCAGGACCGATCTGTGCGCGCAAGCATGGGGGGACACTTTTAATTATTAATTTTATTTTTACACTGTCTCTTTACATGTTTTGAATCCCACACCCCTTGTGATACCATGGGCAGTGTCAGGTGCTCATTACTGATAGATCTGGGGTCTACTAGACCCCAGTTCTCTCCTCAGCCCTTAAAAGCATCAGATCAAACCAAGATCGGTTTGATATGATGCTTTCCCAAGCAAGTAATGGCTTGTTTACATCCTGTGAAACTGGAAGTGACGAAATCCAAAATGTGGGATTTTCCTTAACTTTCTTTTATAATAGTAAAAATGACAAAACGGTAAATTTCCCTAACATGGGCACAGACAACAATAAAAACCCGACAGGTGATATAATCCACCTCCAATCTATTCAAAACCTAGGAAAAGCGTTTTGCCTTGAGTTATACTTTAAAGAATTTAAATTTTTGAACAACGTCATGAAATCTCAATTCCTTTGAGCTTTACATATTCATATGCTGTAACTACAATATGTTATTCACTAGCAGCACTTAATCACATATTAGTGGTTTTGATGTAGTCCAGTTAACCCCTTCTTTACACATTTAAAGTATAGAAAAGCAGATAGTATAAAAAAAAAAAAAAAAAAAAAAAAGGGTAGCGCACACATATGCCGCTTTACACAAAGTTATTTTCACATCTTAGACAATAAGTGCATTTTTTTAAAAAAAATCCTTACTAAACCTAATTCTTTCTTAAGGCAATTGTAAAATTAAATTTTTATGGAATGGTTTTGCACAGAGCAGCCTGATCCTCCTCCTCTGGGGCACCACACTGGCGCTCCTGGCTCCTCTTCTTCTTGTGTGCCACCATAGAAAACTGAATGCTATGGTGGCACAAGTGAGTGCGATTCCAAGCTGGGCTGTGTGTGTTTAAGACACATAGCGTGGCTTGGCCCTGCCCCCCCATTCTCTTGTTACTGGGTTTGACTGACAGCAGTGAAAACAAATGGCCTCTTCCGAGTAGGGAAATAGAAAGCAGGGCTGCTGCTCTCTGGCACAGCATTGGATCAAGATCATGTAAATATTGGGGGATGCGGGCTGACAGTAGGTTTTTTTTTTTTTTTTTTTAACCTCAATACAGAGAACGCACTAATGTGGTTGTAAATCTCAGACATGAAATATGAGCAAAACATATCCATCTATAGTGTGTGCTTGTATCAATCCAGAGCACTAAGTGTAATTTCTGTCTGCTGCCCCCTTTCTGGTGACAGGGGCGGACACAGCCTGTGATTTACAGCCTCATCTTTATTCCTGTGTGAAGGCGGGTGTGTCACTGAGTAACTTCTGCTCCCCACCCCCTGCTTTTCAGAGCTGAGATATCCTGTGTAAATTCTAAACTTTGAATGGATGATGGGGAAAGACTGCTATAGATAAACAGGTACAACTTATGTATGAGGATTTCCTTCATCTCTGTGTTATCCCCTGAGGCCAGTCACTTCACTAGGTACAGTTGTGTTTAACCACTTGCCCTCCTGACGATTTACCCCCCTTCCTGACCAGGCCATTTTTTGCTTTACGGCGCTGCGTTATTTTAGCGTACAAGTGCAACGCTGCACCCAAATGAAATTTACGTCCTTTTTTTCCCAACACATTGAGCTTTCTTTTGGTGGTATTTGATCGCCTGTGCGTTCATTTTTATTTTTTGCGCTATTAAAAAGAAAAAAAAAAAAGGATCGAACAATTTTGAGACAAAAAAAAACAAAATTTTTGACTTCTTGCTATTAAACACGTCCAGTAAAATTTGAAAAAAAAAAATTAATCACGGTTTTTGGTATAAAATGATATTTCTATATGGAAAATAATTTACTAGTAGGTGTAGTAGAGTAACAGAAAACCAACAGACCCAACAGTCATGAATGCATGCAGCTGATTCTGTGTAATTGAATCACTAATTGAAAGGGGCATGTTCAAAGTGAGGTCATTCAGTCTGTGAGAAAACAGGTGTCAAACAGGTAGGTGGCCCTTATTTAAGGACGAAGGCAGCAAATGTTGTACATGCTGGTTACAGTGCATTTCTCCCTGAAATGAGTAAAATGGGTCGTTCCAGACATTGTTCAGAAGAACTGCGTACCTTGATTAAAAAGTTGATTGGAGAAAGGAAACCATATAAAAGAAGTGCAGAAAATGATAGGCTGCTCAGCTAAAATGATCACAAATGCTTTAAAATATCAACCAAAACCAGAAAGACGTGGAAGAAAATGGAAAACTACCATTCGAATGGATCAAATCATAGCCAAAATGGCAAAGACTCCACCTCCAGGGTGATCAGAGGTGGTCTAAAGTTACCTGTGAGTACTGTGACAATCTGCGGATGCCTATGTGAAGCCAAGCTATCTGCAAGAAGCCCCCGCAAAGTCCCACTGTTGAAAAAAATGACATGCTAAAGAGGTTTACAATTTGCCAAATAACACACTGACTGACCTAAAGAGAAATGGCGCAACATTCTCTGGACTGATGAAAGTAAGACTGTCCTTTTTGCGTCTAGGGGCGGCAGGCAGTTTGTCAGACGACCCCCAAACACTAAATTCAAGCCACAGTACACTGTGAAGACAGTGAAGCATGGTGGTGCAAGCATACGGGGATGGTTCTCAAACTATGGTGTTGGGCCTATTTATCGCACACCAGGGATCATGGATCAATTTGAATACATCAGAATACTTGAAGAGGTCATGTTGCCTTATGCCGAAGAGGAAATGCCCTTGAAATGGGTGTTTCAACAAGACAACGACCCCAAACACACCAAGCAGCATCTTAGTTCCAGACCAGCAAGACTGACGTTATGGAGTGGCCAGCTCAATCACTGGATCTTAATCCAATAGAAAACTTGGGGAGTGACATAAAAAAAAAAAAAAAAATGCAGTTTCTGAGGTAAAAACCAAGAAATGCAGAGGAATTGCAGAATGTAGTGAAATCGTCCTGGGCTGGAATACCTGTTCACAGGTGCCAGAAGTTGGTTGACTCCATGCAACACAGATGTGAAGCAGTTCTCATATACAGTGGTTATACAACTAAATATTAACTGATTCACAGGAAAGCAAAATCTTTAAGCATTTTTCAGTTTATACAGTAAATGTTTGTAAAGAAAAATGCAGATACTGCGATTTGTAACAGCCTAATATTCATTTTTCTTCGCTTTCGGTAAAGTAATAACAAAATTTGAAACATTTTTCTTCATGTTTTGATTTGAAATAGACTGTACAGTGTTCCAAATGCATATGTGTGTATGGAAATAAAAGCTAGTATAAGGATTTTGAACTTTACTCACTTTTTTTAAACACACAGCTATTATTTTTAACACAACTGTATACGCTTTAAAAGGTAAAAAAACAAAAAAAACACAAAAAAACAAACACACACACTTTAAACTTTACAACCACTTTAAATGTTAAAAGAGCATACTACTGAGATATTTAGTGCAGTATTTCTCAACCTTTTTTCATTCGAGGCACCCTTTCAAGTTATGAACAATCTTGAGGCACCCTTTAGGATTATGGACAGTCTTAAGGCACCCCAT